CCTATAGTCTCCGTTGTAGTTCCTTTTTGGGGATACCTTATAAAATCCTTACTATATAATTGTAGGGGCCTTAATAACAATAATATCTATAATACCTATAGTCTCCATTGTGGTTCCTGTTTTTGGGTCAAACAATTGTATATTAAGGATTTTATAAGGTATCTCCCAAAAAGGAACTACAACGGAGACTATAGGTATATGTTAAGGCTGCTAAGCCTCGAACCCGAAGCCCCGAAATCCGGAGCCCAAGCCAAAAGGCACCCCAGCCAGCTCAACTCAAGCGTTCCAGCACACAAGGCGTCGGAGTAGGGGTTTACGGCTTCGGGGGGACGTCGAATAAGTGCATCGCCCCAGCCTTCTTAGGTGAAAGTGACGATTAAGAACACTTTCATCGACGTAAGCTCCGACGATGACGACGACACCGCGAACCCGATGATGGAGAAGATCAAGAGCGAGCCAGCCCTTCGTCGGGTTAGCGTTCTCTTTTTTGATTCGAAAGGGGGTTCAGGTTTTACTGTCACTTTTGGGCTAGCTTCGACTTGAAAACACGGAACTCGAGGAAATAGGGTTTCGAGGGTATATGATTTCTTCTACCAGAAAGTGAGATGGTACTACGAACTATTCAGGCTTTTATTTTGGGGTCATGAGGGTGTTTGATTGGTTCCACCAACTCGGAAAAACATCTTTAGATACGGATACCTACATCGATCCCTTCATGAACATAGCTACCTTCTATTTACACTTGTGTATGAGTGATTATCCAGCATGTTGCAATGGAGAATTCTTGGGTATCTGCTATCCACAGCTATGCAAATTCTTGAGGGTTTAGGGTTTAGGAGCCCCCCAAAACTGCACCATATGTTGTTTTGGTTGCGGGGCTTGGAGTTGTGAGAAGATTCCTTTTGGGCCCTAAACCCATATCTGCCGCGCCTCTCGAGCACTCACAACCGGGTTCCTCCTACTATACTGTATACTCAACTAGGGATGTAGGTGTGGAGTTCGGGACTTTCCAGAGAAGGCTTCGCACTCGGAGGTGTCATGGGGCACAGAAACCACGAGCACTGCGGTGCCTCCAACCGCTTAAGTTAAGTTGGTAGTCCAAAATTGACGAAATGGCCATCCTCAAACGCATCCCAGCTACAAAACTGAAGAGCCTACATGTCGCGGTTTTTCACTCCGATGATCTCAAAGTGCTGTCCAGAGGTCCACCCGACACCCCTCTCCCCGGAGGGTGATGTCCAGAAGCGCGCACCTGGGCTGTTCGAAATAGAGGTCCCAGGTTCTCCTTTGCAAAATATTAGCTGCCTTGCGCCTTGCGGCTTGCAGAGTACAATCACGAAATGGCTTTGGTTGCAGGTTGATGTGATTGTTGGGATGTGATGGTTGGGATGTACATCGACCTGCTTTATCCTGCAGGATACCAGAATCCTCTCAGCAGCCAAATGTCTTTGGACAGTGTTTGCATGCCTCCGAATACACACCCACAAATCCTTTAATTGCATCATAATAGTAATAAAAATAGGGCTTGATCCTTTTGCCAGCAGTGGTTTGCTTGTGTATCTATGTATGCAAAATGTGTATATATATATATATATAAACAGATTGTGTATGTATGTATGTATGTATGTATGTATGTATGTATGTACGTATGTATGTATGTATGTATGTATTTACATGTTTTACACATACACGCGGAGAGATCTTTGTAGCATTCTGGAAGTCCATTCTCGTGTATACCTTGCAACCCGTCGTACGAGTGTGAGCGCCGAAACCCCAAAGCGGACAAAGAGCCTTGCCTGCTGCGTGCGAGTGTGAGAGTCGAAAAAGCGGACAAAGCCCTCCACGACGAAGCCAATGCCCAGCATCACACGAGAAAAGCAGAGCCTTCCAAGAGCAGATAGTCGAGAATCGAAAGCCCGCTCTATAGACCCTAAATTTTACACAAACCCCTCAATCCCAAACTTTAAAGCAACCCCTAAATCGCTAAACCCCCTAAACCCTAACCATCCCAAAGCTCGAGAGCTAAGAGTCGCTGAGGTGTGGCAACCCTCCTCTGATCTCCCAACGCAGGAGGTTGGCTTCTGCTTCGGGGTTTACCTGTAGTCTCCATCGTAGTTCCAATTTTTGGTTTAACCAGTTATATATTAAGGATTTTATAAGGTATCCCCAAAAAGGAACTGCAATGGAGATGGTAGGGTCTATAGGGTTTCGCAGGGTTGAGCAAAGAGGGTCTTTTGGGAGAGACAAGAGGTCTGTGTGTAAAGCCTACGAAAGCCCAGCGGCCGCGAGAATGTTCTGGGCTTCTGGGCCCTCTGTCAGTGGCTTCTGTCCAGTTGACAGCCGTTTCATGCAGCATCTAAGAATCTAGTCTGCTAGTCTGGTTCAAATTGAAAGACATCGACGGGTGGGTATACTGAAGTCAAGCAGTGCAAGTCAAACCGCTGCAATTCTGGGCCTGAAGGAAGCGGAGGAGGAGGAGCACGCGAATTCCGAAGATTCTGCGCCAACGGCAAAGGATGGGCCAAAGGTCACATCTCAGGTGGCGGCACGTCTTGCAAAGTCAGCCCTGCCCCCCCCAAAGATGCATCTTGTGGCCCATAGATGTCTACCCAAAGGGTCCAAGTTATAATACGGTATATACTTTTGGGACCCAAATACCTACAAAGTAGCTACCAGAATATATACTACTTGAACCCTTTGGGCTAGATGTGCTAAGACTTAGAGTAAGACATCCTGTCTATGGGTACATCGCCATATGGATGCACATGTGTATCTGTGGTGAACATGGTTATGCATATAAAACACCAATAGAGACGTGTACATTTCATTGTGTATATAATAATTATATATATATATATGTATCTACACGTGCATGTTTCTGTATGTATATTATGTGTATATATATATATACACATGCATATATATATATATACATATGTAGACGTACACACACGTATATATATATATATATATATTTGAATGCTACGCCCATATGTCTGAGCGTACGATAATTTGGTGAATATATATGCAGCAAGACAGGCAGGCAAGCAGACTTATTTTTTCAGAGGTCCAGATCTGACCGATAAACGCACGCCTGAACCAGTGAGCACTGATTGAGACCTCAGCTTGTTGGCCAAAGTCTGCAACCCTGGGGCTTTACACTGCTCATCAGAGTTCACTCCGAGAGCAGGGCTTTCTCGCAAGTTTCGAAACATGTTTGCTACCCGGGACCCAAGCATCGATTTTCGTCTAGAAAGACAGCAGATTGCACCCTCAGCGTTTAAGCCTGGGGCTTAGGCTTGACTGGGCGATGTTCAGCGCAGGGTCTGAGGTGTCGGGTATATAGGGGCACTACCACGGGAGGCCTGGTCGAAAAAAGGTTTAGACAGTAAAGCTCCTGGAGTCCCAGCTGGGATTATGGCTAGGATTTACGGGCTGAGGGGTGAAGAGTCCGGCAGAGACTCGTGCGAGCAGAGTTTCGCTCTACTGCCAAAGCTATGCCTTATGCACCTTCAAAACGGGTCTGTTCATGTCGACAAAAAGGCGTGCATACGTAGACATTTGCACATGCTGAGTTTCCAGCTTGCTTTCAACCGGGATCGGGTTGAGTAAGCCAGAGAAGGTTCACAACTGAGTGTCCTGAGCCTGCCTGCGCCATACATACACATGTACATATACATGCATACATACATACATACATACATACATACATACATACACATACATATACATGCATACATGCATACATGCATACATGCATACACGCATACATGCATGCATACATACATACATACATACATACATACATAAACATATACGTATACATATACATATACATATACATATACATGCACACGTACATACACATACATAAACATATACATATACATATACATATACATATACATATACATATACATATACATACATACATACATATCCATACATACATATCCAAACATACATACATACATACACACATGCACATGCACATGCACATGCACATGCACATGCACATGCACATGCACATGCACAGACACACAGACACACACACACACAGACAGAGAGACAGAGAGACAGAGAGACAGAGAGACAGACAGACAAACAGACGGACGGACGGACGGACGGACGGACCGACAAACAGACAGACTAATGCATACATATACATATATATATATATGTATACATACACACGCACGCACTGGTACAGTCGAGTGCGTGCATGCTCGTGTTACGCATGTGAGTGCATGTAGGCATGTGCGCATGGGTGGGTGCTGCGCAGCTCTGCCGAGGCGGACGTGCTGTGGTCGTTGCACCGCAGCTTGCACCGCAGCTTGAGGACGTGGCGGTCCAGCCCTCGAATTCCGCGGAAGCCAGGCCCCTGAGTCGCAGATCCGGCTTTCGTTCGCTGAAGCTGCTGCTCCCTTTTCCCCTGAGAGCTCGGACTGCAAGAGGTCCTTCTGCCTCGGAGAGGTCAGAAACGAGCGCAGGAGCAGAAATCTCCTTCTCCTAAAAAATGATAGCAGCGCGGAGAGCTCTAGCACTCAAGCCCAGGTGCTCATCTGACGCCTCTTCCTCCTCTGCCCACTCCTGGAACTATAGCTATGGGCAGGCTGGCCAGGCCTTGGGCGCATCTAGCTTGAGGTCTCGTTTGGAACTTTGCCGTTGCTTCCCATTGAAGGCAACGAAGGACATGCCCGCATGAGAAGTGCTGATCCCAGCGATCGAGGTGCATCAATAAGCTTTGTCGGAAAAGTCTGGTGATTTGATTTGAAGCTGCCTTATCCGGCACAGCTGGCACTGCTGTCCAGCGACGGTTGCAGCACATATTGCAAATCGCCCCCTCTTTAAGCATCCTTGTTGATGATGCCTTTGAGTTGAACAGGCTCCCATCACTTGACGATTTTGAGTTTGCAAGAAAGACGTTCCGAGGGTGACGACATTCGCATCCAACTTCAGACTGCAGACTTCAGACAGTGCATGAAAGGCAGCTCACCCGGTTACTGATCGCCAAGTACTGGATAAGACGGAGAGTCACACAGGGCGAGCCACCTCCCTACTCGAAGTGTATCGGGTCCGGCCTTCAGGAATTCTGCTGCCTTCTTCTTTGGCATGACCCAGCAACAGTACCTCTCAGTCTTCAAAGCTCTGATCTTTTTCCTTCTGTATGTCCAGAAAAGGCGCTGTTGCAGGCCAAGGCACACGGACTCCTCCACGGGCTTCTTGCGCTCCAGCTCCTCCTCTTCGTCCTGGAGCACGACCATCTAGTCTAGTTCTTCGGCAGCATCAAGCCCTCCCCGCGGACCTCATCGCCCTCCTCACCCCAACCGGGCGCGAACCACGGTGCGCCACCCTGGCTTCATAGAGAAAGAAGAAAACAGCCATCCGAACTTACTCCATGCTTTCAAGAGTCCGCCATCATCTGCAAGCAGGCCGAAGGGCGGTTGAATACAAAATATCTTACATCTGAGCTTCTGTCCACCATGCCTGGGTCTTGCCCTTCGTTCTGGTGCGCTTATTGACATCTTCCCAGGGGTTGTCACCTCGGAAAGCCATCAAGCATCCATCAAGGAGGACGTCAGAATGTTGCAGGTGTCTGCACGATGCCGGCATATGACAGCTGATGGTCATGGGTGGTGGTGAGGCCTTCCGAGCGCCGTACTTAATGCGGACCGAACGACGCGAGAACACCTCGAGCAGGCGGGAGAAGACTCTGATCTTTGCGCCGGCATTGCACGTTCACTGCTTGCCTGGTACGTCGAGTCGCAGCAGCGGACAGGGCTGCTGCAGTCGCAGCCATACAAGGCCCTGCACGTGAATTCAGGGACGGGTGGTGGAAGCAGCCGGCGACCCTCTTCAGACAGCTTGCGAAGCCTGCGGCGCTTTGCCAACGCCCAGTGTTGTGTTTGGGTAAGCCTATCCAGCAGCGAGGCAAGCAAATACTGACTGCTGGCTGGTCCATTAGCTGGTTTGAAGACACGAAGAACAAAACCCTGAAGACGTGGGGGCCTGGAGCTGACGTTGCAGGAACCACGGGCAATGTGCTTGGCAAAACGAACCTCAACGCAGGAATGGTGTTCCAAGTGCAATTTCCACGCCGGCATGACCGACGCCAAGACGTTCAGGTGACGAGAGTGAAGGCTCAAAATTGCTGCACAGCTTTTCGAAGGCAGCAGAAGCAGTTCACCTAACCGATGGAAAAGTCAGAGTTTCGACCTCAAGATCTTTCCAAGGCCAAGAGACGAAGCCGCTTCCATCATGTCTGAGCAACTTCGCGCCGAGAACGCTCTCAATTGCGCGTCGCTGCACAGCTTTTCGTTGCTCAGTGTCGGGTTTGACAGGTAGCTGCTGTCGGCCTCATTGCTGGCGAGCAGTTGTGTGAGAATCCTGACGTCTCCTCCCGGATGTCCACAGTTCGCATGTTGAACCAAACAGCTTTTGCAGGAGCACGTGCCATTGCCAACGCTCGCATTCTTCGTAGGGGCGCGGTCATTCGTAAATCCATCTTCATTGCATCATCACGAGCATCATGAACCTCATAAAATGCGCAGTCTCGGATCAATGTTGCTCTGCGATTTGCCCCCTTCGTAGATGCTCTGCATCTTCTCAGTATTGCTGCTTGGAAATGGCATCTTCTGGTTGCGGCAACTCCAAGCACTTTTTCTTGGATGCCAGTCGATCATCTGGCAGCACAGCCTCCGAAAAGAAAAGCAGCAAATGCGGTGTGTCACAGGCTCAAGCGCTGTCCATCTTGCATATGAACACACCTACCAGGACCTGGGAGTTTCAAGCTGTGCCCAAGCAGGTGGCCCGCTGCCTCTCGGGCTCGACAGAGCCGCAGCCTCCGAAGCCAGCTCCTCTGCACAGAAAGGGACGAAGACCCGTTGCCGAAGGTCTCAAGTCGCCCGCTGGGCCTCACAGTACCCCGCGCTGGAGAGCCTGAAGGTGCTAGCCTGCCACTGCCGAGGGCGCTGTGAACCCAGGACTCAAGACCGAATTCTCATATCCGCCTCAAAGTCAGCGTCTGCAACAGCTCGGATCTGGAGGCAGCCTTGTACTGGTGCTCTCTCCGACAACCCAGTGCTACCTTCCCTCTTCTGCGACGAAATGTTGGGGCGTGGACACCGGCAGCACCTCCCAGCCCTCGAAACACGGCAAGCGCCTGAGAAACAGACATGCTCCACATCGCAGCTTTAAAATGAAACTCGTATGCATGAGAGGTTTGGTTGCTTCTAAATGGCATCAGCACCTCCCAACACCGTCTTTACCCCAATCCTGGCTGCTTCGAAGCGGCACCGACACCTCCCCCCAAGACCTTTACCCCATTCCTGGCTGACAGGTTTGGTTGCTCCCAACTGGTGGCAGCAACTCCCAACACAGTCTTTACCCCAATCTTGGCTAACAGGTTTGGTTGCTTCAAAACGGCGTCAGCACCTCGCAACAGTGACTTGAGCCCAATCTTGGCTGACAGGTTTGGTTGCTTCAACATTGTGCCAGCACCTCCCAACAACGACTTTACTCTAATCCTGGCTGACAGGTTTGGTTGCTTCACAAATGGCACCAGCACCTCCCACAACGACCGTACTCCAATCCTGGCTGACAGGTTTGGTTGCTTCAGCACGGCGCCGCACCTCCCACCAACAACGATTGTACCCCAATCCTGGCTGACAGGTTTGATTGCTTCAAAATGGCGCCGGCACCTCCCAAGAACGACTTTGCCCCAATCCTGGCTGACAGGTTTTGCTGCTTCAAAATGGCGCTGACACCTCCCAACAACGACCCTACTCTAATCCTGGCTAAGAGGTTTGGTTGCTTCAACATCTTCAACACAGCGTAAGCACCTACAACGACTTTGCCCACTCCTGACCGACAGGTTCGGTTGTTTCAAAATGGCAAAAGCACTTCCCAGCAACGATTTGACCCCAATCATGGCTGCCAGGTTTGGCTGCTGCAGTATTAGCTCTAGCACCTCCCAACAACGATAGCGCCAGCACCTCCCAAGAACGCAATCCTGGCTGATAGACTGACTGTCAGAGGCTTCACGCAAAAGCAAACCCTCTACTGCGCAGCCCTCTGAAAGGTGTGCACGGCAGTCGCCAGCAAAGAGCTCCGCAGAAGCCTCCAAATCACGTCCCTACAAAGGGAGTTTCATGAATGATCTGCAATCTGACATCAGGCTGCCTCTCTTCGTCCAGAGCCTCATTGACCTATGCCCAGGATGACGGGACTGCGCGTGTAGCGAAGAGCTCACCAAGGGGTGGAGCACTCAGACTCACAAAGAAACCGCTCAAAGCCGCACGCGCGTCTCAGCATCAACGCGCATGCTCTAGACTGAAGTCATGACTGAAGTATCTTGGGCGAAACACCTTGCTTCCAGCCCAAAGCATTAAGTCGTTGTCAAACTTGAACACATTTCGACTGGCCTCAGCAACTTCTGCACTCCGGCGTCTAGCACCTTGGCGTCCCTGGTCGGTTGCCTGGGGCACATGTTGTGAAGCTCCTTGAGCCTTCCAGAATCTTCCACAGATGTCTTGTGCCGCGGGCCAGGGCTGCTGCGTGCGACAACTTCCGCCACCTTCGGAATTGTGCGTCGTACATGCTCCGGAACCCTTCGTGCTCCAGTGCATCGCTCTGAACGCTCTTTTGCGGAGCTCGTCATGCCGCTCACAACTTGGCCGCTTGTTGGACCTGACAAGACGCATGCCTCTTGCCTCGCATGCGATGACCCTTGCGCCAAAGTGCACTGAGGCCATCACGGACGGTGGCTGCACAAGGAGGGGCCACCGAATGAGGAAAGACCTGCATGCAACTTTCGCCCAAGCGTCGGGTATCCTTAGCCCAGGCATGGAGATTCTCGCCTCCACGGTCCCAGTTGCGGAGGGCTGCCGAGGTTGGTCGGGCGATAGAAGTAGTGCCTTTGCATTGACTGCAGGAAAGGTCAGTTGGAGTAGACTGGGCTGGGACGTGGTGCGTCTGCCGCTTGGCGCCATCGCACCTTGGAGGGTTCACAAGAAATCTGCCAATCCCTGTGATTCCACATTGTTCGATGCAGGCAAGGCACACAAGGATCCTTTGAGACACGGTACCGAATGTCTGCAAATCTGGGCGCCAGGGGCAAAAGGGACCCGAGTGCAGCTTCTCCTCCAGGAAAGATCGAAGCTCTGCAGCAAGTCTAGTGCTGCAAGAATCGTGCTTTGGAGCTTTGCTGCACACTGCGCTGGTCGACATATTCGTCCTCCACGGCTTCGGGAAACCACTTTGGAAGCCTGCATAACGTCAAACAGTCGAGCTTTAACATCACAGCGCACGGGGTGCTGAACAAGCTTCGAATGGCCTGGACGGCACCTGCCAGCAGAGTACAAAGGAGAGCATTTGTGCAACAGCATCTGTTCGACATGGCCCGGTCCTTCAGTTCTGGAAGATCAGACCGTGACATAATCTCGGCCTGCAGCTTCTGGCTTCGTGAAGCAGGCTTTGGGGTATTCTCGGGGTCTGGCCAATCCGGCGTGAACTTGGCTCACCAGCTCGCTTGCATCGCTCGCCTTCTCGCCTTGCGCTGCCATATCCATGGACTCCACGACAGGCCGCCTGCCGCTTCCCGCCTCGTCTTTTCAACTGCTCCAGGAAGTCCTCCACCGCACGACGGAGCCAAAGGCACTTTGGCCAAGCTTCGCCTCTCAGAGCGCAGAGCGCCGCAAGTCCCTTGAATTCACTGCAGCTCAGAGCGCTCGTCCCGCCCCGTTTCATGTTGCGAAGACGAGCCGCAACCCCCCGCGCCTGCCGGATTTTCGTTCGAGACGACGAAGACTCCACCTGCAAGGCTTCAGGATGATGCGCAACACGCGATGCCCCGCCAGTGATCAGTATAGACTAACCCAAAGACCCGTTCAATCAAGACACGCTCCAGAATCCTGTGGCCAGCAGACCATTTGGAGGACGCCTCAGACAAAGATCAAAACAACTCTCGCCCGGACTGCCAGAAAAGCACAAACTTGGCTTTGTTGGCAAAGCTTTGGTCAATCCATGTGTCTTCGTCGGCCTGTTCACCGGTGTCTGGCGGCGCACTCCAGAAGTAGTGGATCTCCGGTGCATCACAGAAGATGTGGCCAGCCAGAGCGTGAAAAGGGTCAATCTGGTCAGGGCAAGCTTCTTAACACATTTCGTAACATCAACCATATCGTCATCACCAGCACCTTCACCATGAACGTCGCAAATGTCAACCCCATCGCCATTATCATCACCATGGTCATCAACAGCATTCTACTATCTGCGTTGCTATCCGTAAGAACCGTTATCATATTCACCAGCAGCATCATCATCAGCAGCAGCATCACCGCCAGCATCATAAAACTCGTCGTCCTCGTCACCTTCGCCCGCACCAGCACCATCGCCACCATCCTCTGTATCACGATCAAGACCGACCATGATCGCCAACTCAAGAGTTCAAAGAAGGAAGGTACGCATGCCAAGCACTGCCGCAACACTTGCATCACGTATAACTCACCATCACCCTCGGGGGAGGGGGGGGGCCGGGTGGGCAAATCCTTCACAGACGGATCTCGCGAGGGTTGCGCTTGTGCCTGGGCCCTCACCACAATGCCCATAAGCATCAGCCACAGCCTCAGCCTTAGCCTCCTCCTCCTCCTCATCATCATCAACCACAACATTTATTGCTTCTCGTGCCGTTGCTGTTGTGTTGGAGCGGACGGAAGTCCCAACAACCATGTTTCTTCCATGGTCGGCAGTGGGAACTGCTACCTTCTTGTGGGTCTTCTCTGGACTAGGAGGGTAGAGACAAAATCGGGTCCCCTTGATGTTGCTCTGGAGGGGGGTGTTGTGCTGCGTTTCAGTGTTGATCCCTGATGTGCTCTCTAAACACTGCGCGTGGGTGCTGGAAAGGGCTCAGGTTCTCAAACGGGGGGCTGCCCTCGAGATACCAAAAAAGATTGCGCGCCGAACCCCTAGAGGACTCCCTAGAATTTCCGGCTTGTCTGGCATCAGACACTCTGATTGCGGAGCCGCAGGAATCTCCCAGAATCTTTTCCAAGAACTCCCGAAACGAAGGCGCCACGTGGGCTTGTTTTGCAATCGGCGCTGCCTGGATGTTCTCCAGGCCTCCGAAACTGGTGGAAACAACACGACATCAACAAAAAACAAACGTACTCGAGTTTGCAAGTGTTTCTAAATAGATGCCCTTTCCAAGACCCGGAACCTTGCTAGGCTCTTGGCCCAAACCCGACAGTCTGAAAATGATTGGTTTTGCCATGCGCTCTTTTTCGGGGACATCTGGTTCTGGCCGACGCATGCCCCTAAGTGCCTAAGTGTGGTGGATGGATCCATCAAGTCGGTGTTACAGAACATGCTCCCTGTGTGAAGGCTTTTCTGATGCCAGGATTTTTCTCGCTTTTTGGCAGTCGGAGCCGTCGCAATGGAAGATCCCACATTTTGGATTGCCACAAGCACCACCACAAGTACGGAAGAGATACGATGTACATCCCAACAGGGCACCCCTCACCCCCCTGCCAGCAGGGCCCGGAGTTCAATACCAACAGGTGCTTCTTCTAGAAAGCCAGCTTGAAACAATGGAAAAGAAACCACCGAAAAGTAACAACACGAAGAACCAGAATGGCAATCATAACGAGGAAGTTGAACACGGGCTTGAACCATCGCGTTAACCATAACCGGAAGGTCTTGCTTTAGGGTTGATTCTGTCGGGCCTGCAGATTGGACTTTCGGGATTTGCATTGATGCTCTCAATTTTTCGGAATCATACGTTGACAAGTTTGAAACTTTAACTTAGGCCTTGTAGGCTTAGGATGGCGTTGTCCTGCCACCACCACTGCAAGGACAGCCCATATCAACAGCATGGTTGGTGGCACGCCTGGCCTTCCGAGAGCGGATGAACTCCTCTGCTCCAGCTGTTCCCGTCACCGCAAGGAACTCCACCAGGCGTCCTGCGGCTCCAGAGGAAGCTGAAGAACCTACCAAGAGAAATCCAAAGAAATAAAGAGAAATATTAACAAAATTAATATTTCGCTTTGAATTTTTACTGCGCTTTCAATATAAGTAGCATTATATTTTTTGTTGTATTGTTTAGGCTCGTCCTTTGCCTGGTTCTTC